TTGCAGCCTTCCCACGCCCTGCCCCCACCTGCTGGGCCTCCACAGCCTCCCAGCTCAGTCTGAGCCCCAGGCAGGATCGCCAGACCCTCAGGCCTCTCCAGCCTGCTGGGCTGTCTTGTACACCATCCTGGAGATACGGCAGCCGCCTCCCCCACCTCCTTGGCCTCTGTCTCCTGCCTGGGCAGTGGGTACATGAGCGGCAGGGCTCAGTGAGGTGGCACAGAGGGGCTGACCCGCATGGCTGTGATGGTCATGGTTACTGTTGTTACAGCCACTGGCCTCCTGGCCATTTCCAGCCCGTCTGAGTTTTCAAGTTCCTCGAGTGCCAGTCTCAGCTCAGGGCCTCCACAGGCTGTTCTCTTCGCCCTGAACTGCTCCCCTGTCGGGGCTCCTCCCTGGGCCACCTCCACAGGCACCTCCCTCCTCCGAGGCCGTCTACCCCCAGCTGCACCCCGGCTGACCTCGGGGCTTCCCATGGGCTCCTCTGCTCTGTGCACGCTCCTCACAGGCCCCGGCGCCTTCTACCACCACGGCCCGCTGGCCTTGTCTTCCAGGTCAAGACGGGGCTGTCCGGTTCCCTGTGATCTCCCCAGAGCTAGTCCTGCGCCCAGCCTAGCTTGGGCAGAGCTTGTGACAGGGAGGATAAGGGGGCAGAGAGAGTGGGCAGATGGATTGACAAGCAATGAATCTGTGGGGCTTTGTTTCTCAGACTTGCTGGACAAGGAAGGTAGAAAGGAAGGAAGAAAAAGGAAAGGGGGGAGAAGGGCAGGCAGGACCTTGGAGCACCGAGAGGGGGAGATGAACCTCGGAGCCAAGGCTGCCCCCAGCCCCAGCCCATCCCCAGCTTTGTCTCACCAGCGCTGAGAACTGGAGCTGTGGGACAGCATCGGGCTGCAGAGCTCACATAAAAATAAGAAAAGCGGGAACCTCTCTCGGCCCACCTCACCCGAACCTGGGCCAGCAGAAGGAACCACGCTGTCCCGGCCAAGCCCTCCAACCAGCCCAGTCCGCCATCTGGTGCCCACGCTGCTCAGGCTTCCCCTCATTTCCGTGCTTGTCTCTGGGAGCATCCACTGGATACCGGGTGGACTGGAAAGCGCACACAAAGGAGACACCGAAGCCTGTGCCCTGGCGTGCTCACAACCCAAACACAGCGTGAGAAAGAGCCCCTAAAACGATCTGGCCAGAGGTTACACGGCAGGTTCCAGCAAAGTGAGAGCCAGCCAACCCCACGCCCCACGTTCCAGCACAAGTCCAGGTGAGGAGGAAGGCCAGGTGACAGTGACCAAGGGAGACGGAAAGGAGTGGGAGGAGGGAAGACGGGCTGAGCACCCGCTGTGTGGCAAGCTTCTCCCTCACCCAGCATGCTGGGAAGCGCCAGTCTCCATTCTGGGCAGCTTTTATCACCTCCCGAAACAGAGAACCACAGCCCAGAGTGGACGGGACTCCTGTCAAGCAGAGGGCTGTTGGATTCCCAAGACTGCTCTTTTGGTAGCGTTCAGGCAGAAGTCAAAGACACTGAGCCCTTACTGAGCTCGCGGCAGGTGGGGATTAATTAATGTAACCGGAAAAGAGGGCGCAAGGGAGGCGGAGGAAGGAGGGAAGGCTCCCTGCCCTTGAGCTGCTCACCGTGTCAGGTGGATAAAATATCTTCATGCAAGACAAATAGCCAAGTCATTCTGGGGCTGCCACACACAGGAAGCATGGGGTCTTCCCTAGGCTCCTAGAGTGACCACAGTGTCCATGCTTGTGTGTGAGAGACTGGACCCAGTTAGGCACAACCTCAGCTTTAAGGTCCCCGAGCAGGTCCAGGACAGTCTCCAGCTCAGATGGGCGGCTCCCAGGAGTCGGTGGCCTTCCAGCTGGGCATAAAGAAGGTGTCTAAAAACAAACAAATGACTTCCGGGGCAGAGGGCAGGGAAGTGGCTCTGGCGGGGTGTTTGGGCAGCATGTCAGCCATTCACTCAGCCGTGCTGGGATGGGAGGGGACAGCAGAGAATCAATCATGCTCCGTGTGTGTTTGCAAAAGGGCGTGTGTGGCTGTGACAGCGGCAGGAGCCCCCGGGGAGGCCCCCTGGGGACACGTGTCCACCACCTGGGCCATCGTGCCCTCGGAGGCCCTGTTGCTGAGACAAGAGTACCAGGTCCCAGACACAAGGGGCGACCATGGCCCCACAGCCAAGTGCCAGTGTAGCCCAAATGCTGGCATCTCTGGAGGCCTCCTCCGGACATGTCTGCTGGTCACTGGGCTTGGAAGGCTTGGCTCCCTGCCCGGGGCAGGTCCTGAGGGCTGAGTGGGACTGATGAGGGACGGAGGGCGAAGGCAAGGGGCCCAGGGTTTTGCAGACAGCCAGGTCCCGCACGTGTTTCTGGAACATTCTGCTCAGCCACAGGCAACACAGCTGCAGCTGTAACCACAGGCTCGCTAGGGGAAGGGTCCACAGCTTGTGGCACCTAATGGGTGCTCAGTAAATACCTGTCCATCAAACTGCCCCCCGCAACTGTCTGTCCCTGTTACTCTGTCTGTCCTCTTTTCTGGTGCACCCCAAAGCTATCTGTAATGACTAGGACAGTCCCCATGTCCCATCTGCCCATCCCAGCATTTTCACCCTGAGCCAAGGTTGAGCTCATTTTAGAAAGGCCAGTCGGGCTGGGAGAAAGAAGGCCTGCTGGAGAAGCAGCCCTCTGCCTGGCCCTGTTGCATGACAGACCCCCACCACACACACACGTCTAGGCCTGGGGACCACAGCCTTCTTGAGGGGTGGGGGCTGAACTCATCCCGGCCCCCGTCTCTGCCCAGTGTCTGCAGAAAAGGAGCCCCAGGACCAAGCCACTCACCAACACTGAACAGATCAGGAGTCCAGCCAGCTGAAGGGACGCTGGCCCGGTCACCCAGAAAGTCTGTGGCAGCCCTCACCACCCGCATCACAGGGCGCTTTTGCATCCCAGAAGGCAGCCAAGAATGCAAGACTCAGAGTGACGGAAAGTGGCCACGTTGTCCAAATCTGCCTACCACCCCCGTTTTATCAATGAGGACAGAAAGACTTGCAGAGCTGAGGTGGCTCTGCAAAGACTCGGGGCAGTGGGGATATTCTGGGGCAGCAGTTGGATAACCACAGGTTAAGGCTTCTCAGCATATGGAATTTAACTTAACGGAGGAACACTCAGCTAAGGTCAACTTAAGTAACACATTAAGTGCCCCCAGAGGACATGGTGTGACAGGGTCTTCCCACCCTGCTTGGATTGGAAGATGCCTTCAGAGCCTGGCCCACCCCCTAATCTCCTGTGTGTGTAAGCGGCTGGCTTCTCAGGCTCCCTGGGAGGGTCATACCTCACAGCCCTGAAACTTAGGCCTCAACTTCGCCTGCAGTTTGATGAGAGAATCAACAACACATCCCAGGGCAGGAGGAAAAGCTAGCTATGCTGGACCCAGGAAATGACAGCAGTTGGTCCTGACGCGACAGCTACATGGGGAGCTTGGATGAGTGTTTGACTGTGTGTGACTTTCCCCTAACACACCCGTCCTCTGCCTCACCATTCCCACTGGCCCTCCAACAACCTGAAAAGAAAGAAGACACCAGGCACTTTAAATCAGAATACAATCTACATCCCCCCAAATGGACAGATTGTGAGTGTACAGCTCAGTAATTGCTTCATCGAACAAAAACCTCTCCCCGAGTGTTGTCTGGTATCTAGATCCCCACAAAGCCCCATGAGCTCATAGGTGGGCTCTCAGAGCTGGCTGGGTCTAGGACATATCATACTGAGGTTAAGGGTGTGGCAGTAAATTAGCTCCTGATTGGAATTAGCATAGTTTTGGGTGTGGCTGATGGAGGTCCCACCCTGAGTGGTGGCACCAATAAATAGGCTTAGCGCCCAGATGCAATATAAAGGAGGGAAACCCGGCCTGCTGCTGCTGCCTACTGCCTTCTGCCTGCCATGAACTGTTTCTCCTCTGTGGTGGTCCTCTGCCAATGTCACTCGGTCTTGGAACCAGCTGACTGTAAACTGAAACCTCTACAAACTGTAAACTGAAATAAACCTTTCTTTAACTTGTGGGTGTTGGGTATTTTGTTTCAGCAACAAGAAAAATAACTAAGACACCCTCCTTTTTGGAGATAAAGTAGCACTATGTGGTGTAGGCTGCCCTTGAATTTGCCATCCTCCTGCTTCAGCCTCCCCGATAACTGTGATTATAGATGTGCACCTCTGTGCCTGGTTCATGCTGAGCTTCTCTCAGGGAACAGTGTCTCTGAGATGCATCCACGTGGTCCTCTGTAGTGATAGTTTTCCCTAGTCTCCTTGCTGTGTGTTATTCTATGTATAACTATGTCACAATGTATGTAGTCCTTGTATTGTGGATGATGCATCCCTTGCTGCTAGATAACAAAACACCCCAGCTTTCAGGAGCCTCTAGCACGACCATTAATACAGCACACACTTGCTTCTCAGGTGGGCCCCAGGGTTCCTCTGGGCTGATCTCAGCTGGGCTGGCTCCTGTGTCTGTCTCCTGCAGCAGGGCTGACTGGTCTTGGATGTGGAGGTTGGACAAGCTCCTGTCTGCTCTGCAGACCTCTCATCCTCCAGCCACCTATCGGAACTCCCCACATGGTGGCCCCAGAGCTCCCAGAGGGCAGAGAGGGACACACGCAAGGCCTCTTTCTGCTTGGGCTGGGGGCTAACACACATTGCTTCTGCCACATTCTATTGGTCACAGCGAGTCACATGACCAGCATAGCTTCAAGGGGAGGAGAAAACGCCTCCTCTTAATGGAATGGGCTGCACAGAGCAGCAGCTGCACTAGCAGTCTACCAAAAGAGGCATTTGTGTAATTTCCATTTAAATAATCCTGCTGAGAATATTCTAGTATTGCCCATCTTCCAAAAAATCTTTCATTTCAGAGAGTAGACTTCTTTCTAGGAGAAGGTGATGGGTAAGAAGGAATGGGTTTACACTAGTCTGGATATTTTTGCTGCTATAATGAAATCACTGAGACTAGATAACTTTAAAGAACAGAGGTTTATTTAACTCACAGTTCTGTCAGGTTCAAGGGCAGGGCACTGGCATCATGGCAGAATACACTCAAGACTGAGGGATCTAGTGGGACCAGAAGCCAGAGGGCAGAAAGGAGCCAGTCTTGGGGCCTCACACTAGGCCCTATCCCTTAAAGGCCTCACCACCTCTGCACTGTCACATTGAGGACAAATCTCTGCCTCGTGACTCCCTGGGGACAGACCACAGTTAAGCTACCACAGGTATCATTCCGCTCACACATGTTCCTAGAGGCCTGAGTGTTGGGACAAACACCTGTGGGGTGGATTCTCTTAATGGTGTCCCACAAACACATGTATGCATTCTGCAGGCCCTCCTGTCCCGGAGCAAGCCCCTCCTTCAGCAGAAGCTGCCCTGCCATCTCCCTGCTGGGCTGAATGGTGTCCCCGTCAACGCTAATGTGTCTATCTTGGTCCTCAATGACTATTTGGAGACAGGAACAAGGAACAAGGTAGGATGAGATCAGACTAACTCCAGTAGGCTCTTACCTGGGGACTGATGTCTTTTAGAAGAAAGGAGAGGAGATCTGAATACAGGGACACAGACACTAGGGGACCGTGGCCTGTGCCAATAGTGGCAGAGACTGGATGCATCAGCAAGACCGTGACCTCCAGGGACCACTGGAAGCTGCAAGAGGCCAAGGAGGAGTCTTCGCTAGAGCCGTGGCGAGGTCACTGCTCTGTGGACACCTTGATCTTGGACGCCTGATCTCTGCAGTGGGGCAAAGTGAGATGCCGGGTGTGTTATGTCCCCTGCTGTTACACCTCGATACAGCAGCCCGAGGAGAGCAGCTCACCCTCCTGCTCTGCCCTCAGTCCAGACGGGAGCAAAGGACAAGTTCTCCGTTGCCCCTTGTACTTGACCTTTTCATGCTGCTTGGTCCCCAGGGTCACACGGTAAGTGTGTTACCCGGAAGATTTATCCCAGAGAGCGGACAGAGCGTGGGCCATGCAAACACTTGGCTGCTGGTTCACGGTGATTTACTCGAAGATTACCCTTTGATGGAGGGGGCCCCAGCCGACAAGCCTCTCTCATATATCAAAAGGGAAATCCTGAAGACATCCCTATAAACGCAGTGGGGAGGAGAACCTGGCAACGCCGCCGTAAACTTATGCGATGTGGCGGAGTCAGCTGGGCCATCTGCTGCACTCAGCGATCCAGATGCGAGACTGTGCTCCCCGGACACCTCCTTCTCACCTCTCCGCCGTGGCCAGGACTGCAAGGAGACCCACAAGAGACGCATGTCAGGGCCTGGAGCCCGGCCCCCACTCTGCCACCAAAGCCTGGTGGGAGCACACGTCGCTGAGTTTCAGCCTGCCTGTCTGTGAACAGAGCGCGCTGCAGCTGTCTGGGGAGCGGGAGTCTTGAACGAGAAAGTAGCTTATTAAACCAACCCCTTGCATTCCCCCATCGCCGAGTGGTATGGTCAGAACTCCTGGCTGCCAGTGACAGAAACCCATTTGTTTTGTCACAAATCTGAAAAAATTGTGAAGGTGCGGTTTGTAGGGCCTCCAACGAGGCCAGTTTATTCTCAGGCAGGCTTTCTCTTGGGGGTGCCCTTGGGGCTTCATGGGCCCAGCAGAAGAGAAGAGAAGAGAAGGTCTGTCCTGGGCTGCCATGAGAAAACACTGACAGCAGGAGGCAGGAAAAGATGCCCGGACTCATGTGGGAACATACAGCCGTACCTCGGTTCATGAACTTACTTGGTTCCCCAGTTCTGGGGAAGATGGCTGTGTTCAGGTTCTCGTTGGGAAGATGGCCAGTCATGCTCAGCACCCAATGTGCAGTTCCAGTGGAAGCATAATTTTGCTGAACACTTCTGTTTGCAAACCGAATTATTACCAAGGTGTTCCTGTATTTGTGAGAGGGGACACTGCTTCCTCCCACCATGGCCCAGCTAATCTGCATCTTCTCACAGGAGAATTTCTTCTCTATTGTTCTCCCTCTCTGCTCTTTAGGAGGACTGCCTCCTCCCCCAGGTCCTCCCTGGGCTTCTAGCCCGAGCCTCTCTTTGCTGGGATATCAACAACCACCTTAGACAGATCAGTTTTCGGCATTGTCTGTTATTGTCTAAATTTTGTTCCTTGGATCCTTCAAAGCTAATACTTTTGAGGTTCAAAAGCCAGAGTGGAGAGACTTTAAATAGGCTTTTGAAAGCCAAAACCACAAATTCATTTCTCCTATTGTCCTTCTTTTGTTGTAACAAGCATCCCTGAAGCAGAAAAACTGGAGCTCCCTGCGGTTTCCTCAATCAGAGCTGGGGGTGGGGACATCAGTCAGCACATCAGAGTGTCTCCTGCCTGAAAGGCCCCTCTAAAGACCCACGTGCTATCCAGCGAGAACTTGGTCTTATTTTTCTTCATGTTCTCGAATCACTGCCACAGTCACCGTCCTGCTCCTGTAGGACGGAAGTGATGTATCTAAGCCCAGGCCGGAAATGAGAGCCACACAGAGAGGCAACAGGTTGCTTCAGAGCTAGAGAGGCGACACTGGAGGTGCACAAGGAGAGGCAGCCTGGCAGAGACACTTAAGAGAGGAGTCGGGCAGTCAGGCATCCGGAACCCAAGCTCCAGGAGAAGCGGCAGGACCAGCTTTTGCTAATCACTCTCAGCTAGCACATGTATAGCACAATGCACAGGTCAACAACAGTAATAACAGTGGTTGAGGTTATTTTTCTGTTGTGTAACAAAATACCTGATATTGAATACTTTATAAAGAAGATAGGTTTATTTGGACTCGTGGTTCTGGGGGCTGGGAAATCCAAGAGTTTGGATCTGCCTAGTTTCTCCTGAGAGCCTCGAGCTGCTTCAACTCGTGCAGGTATCAGAAGGGGCAGCAGGGACAGGCAGAAGAGACAAAGGATTAGAACTCCCATGACTGATGGCTGACCCATTCCATGTGAAAATGTGCTCATCGTTCTGCAGCTCACTCCTATGACCCAAACATCGCCCACTAGGACACTGCCCAGCCCCAGCACAGTGAGCAGTTAAGGCTCCGACACTTGAATTTGGTGAGCATCCAAATTCCTGTCTATGATGTCTGTGATCTGTGCATCTGCCCCCACCTCCACCTACCTCCTGCATCTGCTTTCTTCTAGCCACCCTGGCCTCCTTTTCACTCTCACCCCAGTGCCTTTGCTCTTGCTGTTTCCCTGAGACTGAGTATCCTTCCTGCAGTGTTTGGTGTGACCAGCTTCTTTTCAGTCTTCCATCTCAATGTAAATGTTATCTATCCTTTTCAGAAAATCTTCCTAACTGTAGTTCAAAATTCCTCTCCCCTCAATTCTCTCCATCCCTCTGTATCATTACCTTGCTTTCTTCTGCATCACTGAACATCTGATACTATTACATGAAATAACAATGTCTTTTTATTCTGTCTCTCCAGCTGGAATGTTCCAAGGGCTGAGACCTTGTCTACCTCATTCACTACTGCATCTCAGCCCTCATCTCAGTGCCAGGCTCAGAGCAGATCTGCTCAGTAAGTATGTGCTCACAAGGCTGTGTCAGCTAGCTACTGCTAGGTGCTGTGTAACAAGCAGGCCCCAAGTTCTTAATGGCTTCATCAGATCATGTTGTTCTTTTCCTCTGAGGCTGCAAAGTGATCTCAATAAATAGGTGGTGATTCATCTGGCATGGTAGGACAACCCCATAATTTCAGCTACTGGAGCCCAAGATGAGAGGATCACAAGTCTGCAGCCATCCAGGGCTGCTTAGTGAGATACTGTCTCAAATGTAACTTTAAATTATAGAGCATGTGGCTCAATAGTAGAGCATTTGCCTAGCACATGAAAAGGCCTACTACTGAAGAACAAAAAAAAAAAAAAAAAAAGAAGAGAGAAAAACAAAAACAGCCATTGAAAGGCCCAGAGTCCTTCATTTGGTGTCTCCTCCAGCTCTCAGCTAGCAGACCTCAGTTTCCAGCTTCACAGCTATCAGACAGAGAGAGTGGAAGACTATGAGATTAGACAAGAAGCAGGAGTTGTTTTATGGGCCAAACCTAAATGTAACATACGTCATACCTGCCCACATTCTATTGGCCAGAACTCATCATATGCCTACACCTAAGTGCAAAGCAGGCTGGGAAATGTGGCCTGTCTGTGTGCTAGGAAGACAGAGAAATGAGTTCAGCGAGCAACCAGTCTGTGCCACGACAGTGAGCAAATGGGTGGATGGATGACATTATATTTCACATATGCTTTTATTCAAGACCTCTTCTATAGTTCCAACTTGTGCTGGTCCAGAAACTCAGGCACCAACTGCTTTCTGTCTCACTTCATTCACATTGATAGAATGGCAAGAGGCAGAGGCTAGAGCTGAAAACGTGCAGCCCAAGGGACAGACAGACAGACAGAGCTTCCAGAGCCTGCTGGCCCAGATAAAAACTGCCCACAAACCACCTGTGCAAAGCGCCCCTCTCCCTGAAAGGCAAGGGCGATGAGATTCATCTGCTTGGGCTCCACCTGGTACACAGCAGGCCAGGGGACCCAGGGGACCCATTCCCAGTGGAATTTAGGCACCAGGAAGCATTTATTAGGTACTTGCCAGAGCTACTCATTTTTCCCTGGGGCCACAGCTTAGTCCATCGCCGACTGCAGCGTCCAGAACACAGTAAGCACTCAATCAGTGCTTGTTAGCATGACCTTTTTCCCTCTCACAGTGACTGTGTGTTGGTTCAGCCACCAGACTATTCTCTAGGTTCTGGGAGCAGCAGTAGACAAGAAAGAGCCTGGGCGAGCCAGATGGAGAGCCCAGCACCCATGGGCCTGGAGTTTATTGCACATTCAGGTTGTAGGGTACCAGCACCCCCCAGCATGGCACACTGCTTAAGAAGAGGCTCTCAGAACTCCTCGAGAGAGAGTTGGGGAGAAGTATCAGGGAGACACAATCTGCCTGGGAGATTTTTCCTGCTGCCTGTCTTTCTCTATCTGCCCTGGTTGCTCCTAAAGCCTAGTCTCCCCCAAAGGCCTCTTCTTCCCAGCAGGCGCCCAGAACCAGCCTGGAGCTGGGGTGTGGCCACAGCCTATGGTTTCTTTGCCCTGGGGAACAGCAGAGGCTGCTGGGAAGGGGACAAAGCCCACACCGGACCCTGCACTTTCTACATCTGGAATCCAGTCTGGAATGCACTGAGAAAGTGTCTGTGTTCAGCCTTCTGCACTCTGCTGGGTACCCATGCGCTGGTCATTGATCGTCATCCCATGCACTATCCTTGGAGCTGCCTCCGCTGCTCTGGGCCCTGGGTCATCCCAAGGAGCCTCAAACCTAAGCCAACACTTCTGGAACCTCTAGATTTGCCCACATTTTTCAGAACTTCCTATGCAGTTGGTTGAACATCACAGTGATCTTTGTTTTGCGAAAGTGTTATCAGAATGAGGGAAGGACAGGTCTGCAGAAGAGTTGGGCCTGACCGAGAGGGGATGGTCTCATAATCTTGCTATTTTGAAGATAAAAAGGAGGCCAAACTAAGAAGCTGCCAATAGCAAAATATCTGCCACCTCCACCAACTACTGCGTAGATGAAAAGTCAGTAAGGTGGCTGTCACCTGCTCCTCTGGAAAGGAAAAGAGGCAAAATTCTGGAAATAAGCGGGAGGAGACTACAGACTTTGCCTGAACACAGTCTGCATGGCAATTTGATCATTGCCATTAGCTCTCCAGAGTTGAAACTCTCCCTTCTGGCGTCATATCTGTGCATCTGTAATGCTTGAAATGGGAAGGGGTACTCGGTGTCTTCAGCACAGGTCACCTCGGGGCTGATGCTGAGCTGCCTGAAGCTCAGAGACCCCAGAGGTCAGTGAAGAGCTGGGGATGACCAGGGCCTGCCACCAGCCCATGGAGAAGCTCCCCCAGAAGGCCCCCAGATCCCCAGGCCTGAGTCCACCCCAGAACAAAGGCCTGCCGAGACCTCTCTTGTCTGCATCCAGCCCCGGAGCAGGTGACAGCCCGGGAGCAGGTGACAGTGGCTGCTGTCCCTCCACAAGTCCAAGCTACACGGTGGGGAGGGGACATCCACTGGCGTGCACTAAGGGACCCTGTGCATCCTCCTCAGGAGGCCAAGGGCACCCCGGACGTGGGAATTAAAAAGGAGGAGGGGAGGCCCAGCATATTAACCTCCTTAATCTTTCATTTCTGACACAGATTGTGCTCCTTCATTTCAAAGAATTTCAAGCTAATGTCTGGAGGGCAGAAAAATCTATTTCCCAATACGCGGCTGCAGCTTTT